TGAACTGCCATACTTGTACCTATGATACATACGTACATTGATTGGTGGCAAATTGGACATCTTTGAACCAGTATGGCGGCTACTTAGAGATGTCGCAACAGTATAACATGGTCATAATCGGCAATGAAAAATAATTTTCTACCATTAGGCCAAAAAATAGCTTTGAGCTCGCAATAAAAGAGGGTATTAAAAAACGACGCGTTGAATTCAATATGGAGTACAGTTTGAGACGCCACATCTGTATGGCATACAACTCCATCACACTTTGACTATCTAACGAACAATATACAACAAGAATTAGCTGTGTAATCATTCCCCAATGACATCTTTTTTTCGACACATTCTAAAAACTGTGCAGCGCAACGACGACACCAATAAGCCACCGTACTTGCGAGTCCTTGTCACAACACTGGCTAACTTCTCAAAAAGGCTTAGCTTTGAGATTATCATATGTGGATTTTATAGCTTGCTCCTGATCTAAGTGACACGTTGTGCTAGGATACTTGAAAGAAACGTCTCTCACAGAAGAAAGGGGTCTCAAGGCAGGCCTCCTCGTACCGATTGCGTATCGCATTGTGCAGCGTAAAATCGCACGAAATTTAAAATGAAAGTGCGAAAAAAATTCCCCGTACGTACAAAATTACATATTCTGAATAATTCAGAACAAAATATCAGGGCACTAACAAGATAATTATCTACTGACCTACGGATCATCACAATTACGCTATCCACAGCTTAAAACGACAGATTCTATAGAAATTGTCACGCCACGCCGTTGTTATTCCGCAATAAATAGTGTAAGTAATCAATATTACTACTAAGTTATTTAAAATATTTAGAAATTGCGAAGAACAGTATTCAATATCCTCGTTATAATTTCTACATCATTTTAACTTACGTTTAGAAAATGCTTGTCAGATTTCTAAATAATTTATGAAGATATGACAATTATTTTCAAATTATTGAGCCTAAAATTTATTATCGAATATAATTTATGTAATTTCTTGCACATTACTCGTACACTCATTTTTCCATGCATGCATGCACAAACACGCGTTTATAGAACAAAATTCAAGAAACTATGAAGAAAAAGGATATTTTAAAAAATTAGGTACTTCTTGATATGTTTCAAACGTGATAACTTACTGTTGCTGGAGATGTACTACTGACATTCATTCCTGGTGGTGCAATAATAAAAGGACTCTGGCGATATGTTCCATCGCCACCAGTGGAACATGGATCATTGTTCCTTCCAGACATTATGCCTGGTAAGTATGTGACTATTGGCACTGATTTTCCACTATTATTGTTATTTACATTCTCCTTCTGCTTAGAACTTGATGGAACAAATTTAGACGCTTTCCTCTGTTTCTCATTTTTAGATATTTCATCCCAATCTATGGGTTGATCATCAGCAACAATTTCTACAAAGACATTGTAACTTTTGAATATACGAAAATCAATGGTTAAGATTCTTAAAAAAATATCCTTAACAACATTTATCAGATACAAGAAACATGTGTGTACTTAATAAAAAAATACTTTTTTTAGTGTTATATACGAATATTACAAAGCAATCTTAAGATAAATTAATGAAATGGATAAAAGCTGTTCGCTGTGGACCATTCAATATAAAACTAATTTCTGTATGTTTATGTACAGTAAAACTTGCTTACGACGGAATCTCAACTTCTTAACCAACCTCCATGAAGTAACGGAAGTTCGAGACGCCGCGGGTTCCAGGATGGGTGACCGTTTGGTAACCCCTCATACTAACAGCACTAAGTCCTACAGGGATAAAAGACAATGACTTACGACCTGACGTATGACTGGCAATATTGAAGGGCAGTTACTCCATGTTCAACACAAAAGAAGTTTGGAATGTTGTTACTCAAGCAAAAAGTTTTTTTCAACGTAAGGCACGATTCCGCATTATTCAAAGTAATACTGTGGAATTTACAATTCCCAGGACAGAGGTTTATGTTCACATTGGACAGATCTTTGCTGTATAAACGTTCCGCATTGAGCAAGTTTTTCTGTATTAGATAAAAGAAAGACAATTTTTAAAAACTAAAATAAATATTTCACATAATCAAAGGCATTAAATTAATGCATAGATCTTACTACAAACTGATCAAATCACAAGACATTTGTTAAAAAACTTCCAGTGGAAGCCGGACAACACATCAGCATTGTTACGAAAACCAATTGATCACATTCCTTGAAGCCGCTTTTCCTAAATATTTCATCTGTACTACCAAAGCTAAACAAGATATTAAATTGCAAATGCAGTATTGTTAAGCAAGATAGGAGTCAATTTCTAAACACTTGCTTCCCAATAACATTTAAGTCAATGGTATTGTAATCGATCAATTTAATTTTATTTGAAAGAGATTAAACATTATGATGCAGTATGTGAATATTTTGCAGATATCTACACAGATGTTTTTTTATGTTTCATCTGACTAGTTGGTACATATGTACTGCATTTTTAACCCGAGTGTGTGGTCAGAGGTAATATGTTCCAGAAGTGTCAGATTGTGAGAAAATTGGGGCATCCGGTTGAGACGAATTGATACAGAAATTAGGAGAACCAGAAGTAGGTAGGTAGGTAGTGAAAGGGATGCAGTTTTCAAAGGAAACGAGGGTATGAGTCGGGCGTATGAAATGGTGCCAGCCAGCTCTCTATGGAGTGTACGTTTTTTAGAAAAGTCCATGGGACACAATGCCAGGTAAAGTGTTTTGCTGAGAGGAAATTAATTTAAAAAAGTGTTTCTTTCAAATGCAGTTTTAATTGTGGATTTGCGAGCTTAATCTCTCTGCACTGTATTGACCTGTTGCATCAGAGTAGCAGAAGGGAATCTACAATGTTAAGGCCTAATCACAATGCAAAGATAAACATAAGCGTTGCGTTAACATAAAAGTTAGGACTATGTCCATAAGGGGATTCATTCAAAATGCGTTCGCATAAGCATAACACAAAACACGTTAACTAAAAAATTTGCAAGCGTCAAGCTTTTGTGCTTATACTCAAGTAACACAAGAAATGAACCAATCACAGTACGTGAACTCAAAATCGAGTTTCGAAATAGGATTGAAGTCAAATGCCATCTACACTAGATGGCGTTGGATGAACAAAAGACCAAAGAGTACTACACAAGTGTACTTTTCGCAAAAGACTGTGGTGTGGTACTACAAGTGAGCTCTAGTGTAATAGAGTATAATGTTTAGATCACTGGGTTCTGATTGCGTGCTGCGTTGGCACTAGTTTTAATCGAACCCATGGGCCATGGACACAGTCGATATCTCGAAATCTATTCTTACATTCCACTAATAGTAAACTAGAATGTCTCACAGCCAATAGAAACTAATTGTGCTTACGTTTATGTTAGACAATGTGAATATTTCAGTCTATCACTTATGTTAATTTTTTAAAATCCTTGTTGGGCGTTGAGTTCTTTCCCTGGAGTAATTCTCCGTTACTAATGGGGAAGTAATTAGTATCGTAGTCGAGTCTCGTCACGTCGCAGTCAGTGCTTTTATCCCTTCGGCCAGGGGATCGGTGCCGTAAGGTCCTGGGGTTCCTAAACAGTCACCCTAATCCCACGAAATCTCGAATTCGCTTAACATCCATAACTTTGCGGAGCGTAGTAAACGAATTCGGCTAACGACACAGGCATGTTTTAGTCTATGCGTGATGCTTATGTTTATGTTTGCATTGTGAATCGGCATTAAGTGTGGTTATGGTGGCACATTGGCATTCATTGCTGCGTCCAGTTTGCCCTATTGGTAAAGAAAGTTATCTCAAAGATTCATTCTCATTTATCAGTTTTGTGATAATTCGTCAGAACCACAGCCCAATAGTATACATAAAAGCCTACGCACACAAACGGCTATGTGAAAACAAAGCTAATAGATTTCCTATTCTCATTTCATTTGACTTCAAAGTTTTCATTTCAGTTTCATATAACTTACCTGAGCTCTCAGTTGCAGTGTCATTTGTCTCTTCAACTGTTGGCCACTTATCTGATCCATAACAAACTCTCAAAACATGAAGACTTTCTTTTGACATACATGCAATAACATTTTCACAAAGTTCGAGTTTCCATGGTACAAAACTTATTTCGAGGCCCACAGGAGATTCTTCAAAGTCAATAAATTTTAAACGAGATATATCATGGGTTCGTACTTGAAAATGATATAATGTCAATGTCATTTGTGATGCAAGAACCAAATTTCCAGTTATCTAGACACAAAATAGCATTATTAGGATATGTAAAATACATGTGTGCATACAATTAATATCTATTAAGAATTTGCTCCATTACCTGACAACATGCCAAAGCATTAGGAAGTCTCTTGAGAGGTAGTTCTATCATTTCCAAGCCACTGGTACCAGACTGTGCACTACTAGGTGTTACTCTTCCAGCTATTCGAGCTCTCATGGGCTGAGTGCTTAAATCATAGTGTGGGCTTGCATCCCAGTTCGCATAAATGCGGGCATATACTGATTCCTTTCCTTGGCGCGTCTGCTTACTTTCCAAAGTAGCAACATAATTTCCTTTTGAAAGATATAATTTCTTTAATTAATCCCGTTTTGGTAAATCTCTTCCTTATCAGATTGATACCGACAGGTAACCTTTCAACAGATACAGATAGAAATCTTGCTTCATTTTTTCTATAGGTAGATTTTTACTATTTATGAAAAATAGCTGCCGTCTGGAAGTTCATAAAAACATACCAAAATTCCCACTTATCACGTCGCAAATAATTGTTCCTGCGGGGTTTGTGTAGCCTTGCCTATTGTGAATGTCCGCCGAAGGAGCACGCACTCCTTCAGGCAGGAGTTCCAATTCAAGGCAGCGAAAAAAGCTAATGACATTGCCCACGCCCTTGACAAACCCGCAATGCTGCGCCGCGCAGAGCCTATTCTTCTGGCCACTAGTTCTTCGACACTGAGAAACTGAAACCCAATGTGATGCCAGTGTTGCCGTGGCACGCAAGTATTGTTAACATTATTTGCTAACCTTCAATTATTTTTGATACAGGCACATCAATTTATGATGATTTACTTAAATGCTTTTAATAATTATTCACGATGGTGTCACCTGGTGATTTAGCTCGAAAACAATACCTGTTACTATCATTGTGTCGTTCAGCAAGACAACTCCGAGCGACTCGGAAGTTAATGATTGGTTGTTTATATTACATCGCATTCGGGGAAGCTCCAAGCCGCCTTCCCGAATACGCCGCTTTGTCAGGTTGTGCTTGAGGTGAAGCTCTATTTTCGTCAATTTTTTAAAAATTAAATCTAAATATAGTAAACATTTTAAAAAATAAATTTAATTGAAATGATTCATAATAGTAAAGCTGATTGATGAGTAGATTAATCGGCATAAATATAATCGATTTAATTGTATTTATTAATCGTATAAAATAATCGAAGGTCGTACTAATTACGATTAATCTCTAGTAACTAACCGGCGCAAATGACGCAGTGTTCCCCGAAATGAACTACAGTTTTCCGCCCAGCGAACTGTTAGATATAACCAATAAGTAGAGCAATGACGGCACCAGGTGAGTCGTTCGCTGCAGCAAGGGTTGCCCGCGTCATTAGCAAAAACAGCGGCCAAAACTGACAAAATTATTTTTTTCAGTAAGTTTTAGTGCGTGACGGTAGCTATTTTTCAGTAGTTATTAATAGAGAATATATTTCAATAGAAAAAAAATATCAGGACATATTTCCACCTGAACCTGTTGAAAGGTTCCTTGGGATACAGGATCAGAGAAATTCAGTTGAGAACTTCCTAGTTTCCATATTATTTTCTGTTATTTTCTGATACCTGGCCGAGAACCATTGTAAAATCGCCAAACGAACTTCAACTTATGTTATTAGTTATTATACCCAGCGGCGTAAGTCCCATAGGCTGTCAGGATCATGTCCGGGGCCTCGAGAATCTGTGACCCCCAAATAAAAAGAATTTCAGTGTTAAATAAGGAATTCTTACCTACAAAAAATGTGATAAAACACACGAACTATTTGCTAAGAGTTACTTTAACAAGTTATTGTACATACGCGAAGTTAATATTGCTTAACGCAACCTCTTGAGACAATCACTGGCGTTAATTTCGATGAAAGGTGTGCATTAGCCTACGTCGAATTTTTTTTAAAAAAATGTTTAAAATAAGTGAGAAACAGGAAAAGTGAATATTAAGTTATAGGAAGTATCGCTGCGTTCCGTGATATATAAATTCACAGACTAATAAGACTTCAGAAATAAAACTTAATTTTTTTTCTATAAACTATGTATCAGAATGAGAAGATTTTATTTCTATTATTTATATTTATTATTCTTTATAAATTCCGCATCAGAAAGCGGAAGGGAGATTTATTTTTATTTATTATTTTTTATTGATTTAATTAAATACTGACAATACATTGTTTGAGCATTGTGATGCTCATAATTTAAATATTGTGCCATGCACAGGATATTAAAAGTTCGGATATTTTACTATTTGGTGGAACGAATTTTAAGTATTCTTTAATCATAACATTAATCGACGAAACATTATAAAACGTGATGGATTTAGATAAAAATCGAAATAATATTTAAATTAATTCTTTACATTACTTACCTAACATTAAAACTTTATCCCACAAGATGGTAATCACGTAACGATTCCTTAATAGTTACAAGATATTGATATTTTAATATTTAACAAACTTAAAAAACTACAGTTTCTAACAAAACGCCTGAAGCGAATGATGGCCGAAAAAGAAAAAGAAATGGAAAATTTTGAACTTGTTTTCCATATAGCACTACATTCCAAATTACTATCGTATTTTGAAACGGTGTTAGTTCACACCTTCAAAACCCAGATTTGGATTCGCAAACGGCAAAGAATTTACTCGATGATATACGAAGAATTATGAAGGCTGTTCAGGATCACCATGATTTGAAAATTATGAATGAAAAAATAGAATTACCATAAGTCTGGAAACTAAAAGTGAAATTTAGCGATGAACGAGTTAAGAAAACGAAACGATATTTTGACGAACGAGGATCAACGACTCACCGATGACGAACAAAAATACAAAATTAATGTTTACTATGGATGCCTAGATATTGGCATTAACCAGTGAAGCAATAATTTACTGGGTTGAAAAATACAGTGATAATATTCAAAGTGATTCAGTTACAAGTACTGATAGCTCTTTCGGACGATGAAATTTACGAAGAAGAACAAAAACTTCAATCAAAATATCCTGCTGATGTTGCGGAAAACGTGTCATTTCAGTTATAGCCATGCATATCGTTAGTGCATTTGTTTAGAGTCAAATTTCATAACTAAGATCTGTTAAAGATCTTGCAAACTTATTAATAACACAGGCACACATAAAAATAGTTGTCAAAGACTTGACACATGTTTCTCTATGTATTTCAATAAGTTTCTTTGTGCTTGTTTCTCTATGTTTTCATCGCCCTCCATTTTTTTAAATCGAAAAAAAGACACCGTGAAATTATATTTTTTTGTTTTCAGGTGTTGTTGTCAGACTCAGAGATTTGACACACTTTCCACGGTGAATGTCGATGCGCTGAATCCGAACTGAAGCCAGAATTGCGCCACCACCCTCCAGTTTTTTTAATCGCAAAAACACCCACAAATTTACAATCTACAATTTCACGTTTTTAAAAAATGGAAGGTGATAGCGCAATTCTGTCTTCAGATTCGGATTTCGCGTTGACATACATAGAGAAACATGAGTCAAGTCTTCTACAATTTATAACGATGTTTTTTGAGAGAAAGTTTGTGTTTTTTATTAAAAAATGAAGGGTGATGGCACAATTCTGACTTCAGATCCGGATTCAGCACGTCGAAATACATAGAGAAACGTGTGTCAAGTCCTTGGGTCTGACAACCTTTTTTAATTTTGTGTGCCTCTGCAACTGAACATTGATCATTATTAACAGTTTTTCTCAATCTGTGTACAGTATAGACATTATTTTCGGCACTTCCCGCCTATTAATTAAAAATTATTTACGAAGTAAAATGGCACACGACCGTCTGGGTAATTTATGAATTTCATCCACTGAGCACAAAACATGATGTGGTTGGAAAAACGATATGTGTACTGCCTTCAATAAATTTGTAAATGCGCAGAAAAAAATTAAAATTTAAATTATATCACGAAATTGCAAAAATAATAATTTATTTAATGTAATAATTTATTGCATTTCTAAAATAAATTATTAACTACGTCTTTAATTAGAGGGCCATCGCATTGTATCGGTCCAAGGGTCTTATGTGTTGAACTTATGTATGGATTACACAAACAAATTCTCGTATTTTATACACTCAAAGCGCTCAATTACCCATTCAAAGAGTAGACCTACTTTAGTTGATAAAATACCATTTAATGTGATATCTTTTTTTTCCCTACTTCAAAAGATAAGAAAGTATTGTAAACTGTCTGCGTCTCTCCCCCTAGTTAGCACATCATTCCGCTCCTAGGGCACTGCACTGACCATGCAAGCCTTATGTTGACATGAGACGAAATTCCAAGTAGACACCACCGATTCATGGGACACACAGTCTCCTATACAAAGCTACAACTGAAATGAGAACCAAAGCTAGTCGTTGAAAGTGATCGCGGCTGACGACGATTTGCCTGGTTTAAAGAGTTTGTCATTCGTCATCGCTTCAAAAATTCAGAGGTTTATTGAAATGTCTAAGGCTCGTAATTAATATGCTTCTTGAACGTAAATGTATGAACCGCGTGGGAAATGAGTGGCGACCGGCTAAGCACAGCTGCGTCGCTGCCTTCCCACGCCGCGAGACCACCTACACCGAACAGGCAATTTTCTCCAAAATTAATATTCCCCGATAGTTCCAGCCGAACTCGAGGCCCTGCGAATTTGAAACAATTTTGACTTTTAGACTACTTTACGTGAAGCCTCAAAATTTTCAAAATCTTCCCATAAATAGCCCCAATTTTCTTGACACTACATAAGGTCACGTACAATTGATTGAAATTCAAGATTTCCGGTAATATTTGCTTCAAACATAGCCAATCGATATAGTTTTCCCACAAACTCCCATTATTTTCAATTACTATCACAACGAATAGGAAAAAAAGGAGGCTTGAAAGTGCTCAGGTCACATTATTTAAAATTTTCCGTACAGTAAAACCCTGGTAATCCGAACAAAGTGGGGGTGTGGTCTGTTCGAAAAAATGTACCGTACAGAAACAAACATATCTATAGGATTACCATACAATAGAACGTAGCATGCGATGTGAGAAAATGGCAGTATCGTAGCAATCTCATCAAGCAGATTCAGTTCTTTGCGGCAAAAGAAGACTACCGAATTTGCAAACTCCTCTAAGTGAAAATTACTGCAAGATAAACATGTGATATACACCGCACTTACCTGTGCAATAAACGTTTTATTTCGACAACTTGTGTTTCAATAATTAGTTGTTCATTTTTACAGTAATTACAACGTCCTTTCTTTACACCACAAATAAGCATTTTTATTATTGTTTATTTTTTCTGACTC